AAATATAGGACGATGGAGGAAATTTGAAGAATTTTTTTTTCCTGCAGTGGCACCCTCCAAGGAAGAGGGAATTGCCACCTTGATTCAGGAGTGTGTAGCTAGTGTATTGACCTCAGCCGAAAGGCGAAGGGACTGGTCCAGCAATTGCATCCGATCTTTTAATGCTGCCCATGCCACAGATAATGCAGCCAGGTGCCGACAATGCAGAAAATTTTGCTCCACAAAGATCACAAACATCGTATCCAATTGTAGATAAACGGCTAAGTGTAGCCGCACAGAATTGGGAGGGATCTTCTAATGGATCGATAGACTTGTTAGACAAACCCCTCTGAACACACATGTCAATCAGACTTCTCAACTCGTCTTGCTTTCCGGGAGGTGCCTTAGAGAGTAGTAGTTCAAGCATCTGCTTGGCATAGGCAAAATTCTGCACATCCATGTTCCTTTTGATGGCAGTTCGAATGCAATTTATCCTGTGCTTCGCAAGAAGAGGCAATGAGCCAAGATGGCGTGACAATCTTGCCATCTCGTCTTTTGCACTAATTGCGCTAGGACCTTGAACTCTCTGCAGTCGGTTTATTTCCTGTAGTGGAACGCAGAGAACAGAGCAATAATAAGTCAACATTATGATGGAAACGAGAAATTCTGTGACCACAAGTTGAGGCTTTCTGTACTAAATCGGTTGCAAAATTATTCTCTATTCAACAGATAACAAACTTTCATCTTGTGTTACTCTTCTGGATTTCATAGGACTGTTCTCCCCAGGTGATATGATCACATGCCAACGGAGAAAAACTAGGTAATTTTAATTCTAATCTTTTGCTCACAAAAGTGATTTTCCTTGTAGGAGGTTTTAATTTTTTACAGCCTGGTTCAATCCAAAACCAATTCTTACGGGGGATTCCTGTGGTTTACGGAGGTTAGCTACAGGAGGAGGAAAGGAAAGCACTCAAACTTCTATGCCAGACAATTCGATCTTTAGAATAGTTTTCAAATTTTTAGCTTTTGGAGGAGATGGGGAAGGGGAAGGGAGGCATGGGCTGATATTAAGATCCAGGAGCTGATAAGCTTGCATGTTTGGCTGTGTTTAAAAGACAGACAAACTAAAAGTGTCAAAGCAGATTTCACCACTCATGATGATAAATTATTAAAAAAAGGGCAGAGAGGGGATAACCTATATTCTGACGGACACTGCACTAGAGGGCCAATTTAGAAAATCACTGAGATGTTTGGATTTTTAAACAATCCACATGGACATGCAGAAGAGAAATGATATCCCCACTTTAACCAAGAAAGAACTTTTACTTGTTCGAATAACAATTAAGGTGAAGAAGGATCAGGAATGACGGATCTCTTTATGATAATCAGATCCATTGTGCAAGTTCATTATTTTCCTAGAAAGGATTGGACTTCTTTCTCCGAATCGATTCCTGGTATCAGTCAATCAAGATTCACCATCAAGGGAGGGAAGAGCCTTCACTTTAGGATTCTGACAGACGAGGGCCAATTTAGAAATTAGATGCATCCTCTCAGATTATGCTAAACACCACAAGGAAGTAGTGTGTAATTTTGTTTCCGGGTGACAATGAAGAGGATTGTACTCGTGCAATATTTGGCTCATGATAAAGCAATTCAACTGTGTTTCAGTTGAACACACACATAACTATAATACCTGAAGAAGGGTGACAGCAATCTTGTATTGGGCACAAATTGTGGCTTGAGCCTTTATATCTGCACCACGAGATTGATCCTTGGCTAATGCTAGGAAACCCTCATCAAAACAGGATAATGCATCTGAGAGCTGATTTTGCTCCAGATGGGCAAGTCCAGTCTTGAAACAAAATGCAGCAGCAGCCCCACGAGGAACCTGTAAAAGGAATAGGCCAAATGATGATGTAAGAGACAAGAATACCAAAACGAAAATACTACCATCTGAATGTATTAATTTCTGCATATGTAGTTTCAAACACAAAGACAGCTCTAATATTTGTATAATTCATTTTCCCACTTGCATTGAGCTCAGCATGAAGCCAAAATATTTTTCCAAACATTGACATCTTGCACCCACATACCAAGTGCAATCCTTCCACGTGCTACTAGATGAATACTACAAGGATTTTTCAGAAAGCAATATGAGAGGAATAAAACAAAGTCAGTTTTACAGTGCACACTCGGCAGTTGATGAATTCAGTATGGAATAACAAATAATTAAAAAAACGAATTTCTTTCAAATGCATACAGAGGTGCATTAAAATGTACATGGTGGTTATAATTCTATTTTTCAAACTCTGTCATTTGGATCGTGAAGAATGGTAAAAAAAATAAAATTCTATAGATTAGCAATTACTAAACAAGAAAAGAAAGGCCAGAATAAATGTCATATTTAAGCTTCGTTGTTCCATATGCTACTAGCAGGAAAACAAAAAAGACGTATTCACCTGCCCAGGACGGACAGCCTTTGGAGAAGCTGGAAGTGCAGAAGTTTTTCCTGAGATTTCAGATCCTGGAGGTTCAAGAGCACTGAGATCAAGGGGCTGACTAGAGATGGGAACCTGCGAAGTCATCTGAACCTGAGGCTGTGGTAGAGCAGCAGATTGAGGCATGGATTGTGGTGGTATTCCACCATCTGGAAGCCCAACGGGCTCGTACATAACTGGCTGTTGAGCAGTTTGTGGGGGTATTCCACCACTGGGTATGGTATCAGTTGCAGCTATATTAACCTGGTTAGCCAGGACATTGTTGCTTCCAGCTCCTTGAGAATTTGGACCTAGCCTTGAGAGGATGGTCCCAGGGGGCGGAAGTGATGCTGCAACTTGAATTGATGATATTGTATCCTGGAAGAAGTCCTCCGGGATTGGACCTGATGTAACTCCACCCGTTACTATAGGAGAAGGCTGTGATGTGGATGCAGGTTGAGCCAATGACATGGTTCCAAAAGGATCTGAAGAAACAGAAACAACAGGAGCAGTCACAGTTCCAGAGGTTGTAGGAGCGGGTTGAGGTACGATTAGGCCTAGGTCTGGGGATGCACTTGTTAATGACTTGGTCCTACTCATTGGACGGCCCAACTGCTTCGTGGCTTCTTTAATTTTATTTAGATCCACTGTAGAAGATGCAACTGGTTTGTCTCGAATTCTAATGTGTAATTTCTTGGTTTTTGAAGTTCCTTCCTCATCACTGCTGCTACCATCGGCAGCAGCATCATATAGTGATTTCTTAAATTCTTCCTCAGCTTTGGCCTGAGCATCTACAGCACTGGAACTGGAAAATTGTTGGGAGAGAGTTTCTAGACCCATCAAGGAATCACCTTTAGATTCACCATCGAGTGCCCCTTTAGGCTTGTTTGATGCAGTTGTAGCAACAAATGCCGGAAGTCCATTTGCCTTGACACCACCAACATTAGCTTTAAACGCTTTCACTAAACTATCTTCTCTCACTTCAACAACATTACCTTTTCCTTTGATTAAACCCAAATAAACACCAATGTGGTCAGTAACAATGGATGGGATTGTACCATCATCAGTTCTCATGTAAGGCATCACCTCTGCAGCCAGTTCCCACTGAGGTATGCTCTTCAGGTTGGTGGGTGTCTTGATTTCCCAGTTCCCACCACCCCATTCAGGTCCTTTAGGAACCATACTTTCAGCAGCAAAGTTTGCAAATATGCCTTGGGTCCACCCAGTAGAGCGTACTCTTAAAATCCTCTCACAGTATCGCCTCAAGTCTGAATCAGCACCCTCTTCTTCGAACTTCTGAGCAAGACGCCGCATTGCACTAGGATTTAGGTGGCATATAAAAAGATCAAGCATGCTTTCATAATCTGCTACAACTTCAAAAGTTTCTTTTGCACTGTCAAACTGACCATATCTGCAGTTTCGCACATTATTCCCAGTTTATGAAGTGAAGAAAGGATCAAAAGATGAAACATAGTAGTAACGAACTGTAATTTATCTATACATTTAAGTCACAAGGATCTAACACTTTCCACTCATGAAATATGTAAACTATTTAAATCAGTAAATTGGACTTGAAGATCTTTATGAAAATAGATACTGCACACATATATGTATGGTATTTAAGGAAATAGCAAAGAGATTTGGACCTATTTACACAAAAATACGGTTAACGCAATAAAAATGTAATTCCTCATATCCCAATTTTCAGACTTGATAGAAGATCTAATCCACATACACAGCATGCTGACAACATACAAGAAAGAATGAGTTAGCCAAGAGTGAGGAACAATTGACTATCAAATTTCCTATTTCCACTATAAGGATGAACTAGATATTTGAAATGATTCCTCCCAGGGCAATCAAAAGATAGACTCTGTTAATAAAAATGTTACCTTGATATGGGTGTGCACCTCAACTATGGGTATGTGTCCACATGTTAGATTCGTTAAACCACTAAATTTTGGATAATGTACAAAACAAATATCAATATTCTTAAACTATATTTTCCATTTAATGTTTAATGGTATAATGGTGTGCAATATAATCAAAACTGTTCAAATAGTTGAGCAATAATTAATCATCCTCGATGTGCTTTCAAAATTTTATGACAGATGCAAAATAACATGCATGTCCCATACCCTTGTCCAGAGCAATGGGTGTCCAGCTTGGGCGCCTCAAGCATTTAGAAGAGTTGGAGAAATATGGAATAACAACAGAGCATGTTACAGTAACATCCCCTGATACTAATAAAATGACACCTCTTTCAGTTTCAATTTCACAAAAAGAACTCCCCTATCAGGCCAAAAAGAAAATGCATTTTACATTTTACAATTTTGTGTTTACACTAGGTTTAATATATTATTAAATGATATTTCTTTAAAAAAAAAAAAAATCTTATTTTTTATTCAGATGGGAGTAACATGCAAGGGTATATCCCAATAATTTTGTCAGATTAATTTTTTACTTTAAAATCGAACACATCGATCCAATTTCCTCAAATGATTAAGTAGCATCAATATAAGCCAAAGATATATCTTTGTTACATACTTGATACATGCATATCCCAACTGGCGGAACCGATGGAACAAATGTGAAGTTGGGGGACATCGTGGGTAGTCTCTTGAACGCAAAAACTCATCTTTTAATGCAGACAAAGCAGTAGAAAAACGGAGTGCTTTGATTGCATAGATTCCTCGCAACACCTAAATTAGATGAGCAAAAATTAACCACAAGCATGCTACGTTAATAAAAGACATAAAAGTATCCATCCATGAAGTACCGGAGTAAATTGTGGTCCTGACTGCGATAATGACACAGCAAGATCACCACAAACTGGAGAACCTCTGGAAAGAATATCAAGTGATCTTGGAGTAATACGTAGGCTGTCAAACCTTCAATCAGACAATTCACTGAAGACGTCAATTACAGGCCTCAACAGTTGTATAATATTAAACTTTTGCATGTGATAGAAGGTAAAGTCAATCCAATAATCGATGTGCAGTATCAGAAGTTCAGAACTCAGAAGAGACGAATACTCTACTAAAGCATTTCTAAAATCAGATAACAAGAACCTTGATGTAATTTGGTATAGGATCTCTGCCAGGTCAAGCTTCTGCTCAAAATGTTGTTGCATTGTCGCAAATCCAAGAAGAAGAGGTTCGAGAAGCCCAACAAGGCAACTCTTGATCTCAGTTTTCTTCTTCTGTCTGGGATTTATATCTGTTGGGTTTGCAAGCAGCAGACGATCATTCAAAGCTCCAACCAACACTGCAAGGAAGAAGTTGATGTTGAAAGATAAGAAATCTAGTCACATAATTGAGAAATGCAGTTAATGACATGTGAGCAACAAAAATAAGAGCAGATATGCCACCAATGAGCCTCAACCATGAAAGCAGATAATCTAAATTGGAACGAGAATTAGAGATCCACCTGCATTAGGCATACTAATAGAGACTATGGTCCTCACTTTTCCATCCCAGCCAAGCACACTTACAGCACTGGTAGTAGAGAAGAGAAGTGCAGGCCCAATCCACAGAAGGGATCTAAAGTGATCATGGGTTAAAGAGCTCAATCACAGCTAGATTATCACATAAGAACAAAGAGTTATCTTAATTTTCCATTTTTCTTTGGGCTAGTGTGTGCGTGCATTCTGGGGGGAGTGGAACGGGGAGGGTAGGAAGACGAATTACAAAGCATAAAGGATATTGAAGGCAGTCCTCTATCAAACTTAGTACAACTGTTGGCCAGCATATCTAAATCTGCCGAAACAATTAGCACCCTTTGTGTAGTTAATATACCAGCAACAAAGCCCCTGAGCGTTTCTTGCCAATGTACCTAACAGGAGAGTATTAAAAACATGAGAAGCTAGTGTTTTTACTTGCATTTGCTTCCGGCAAATTTTTTTGAGAGAGAGAGAGAGAGAATAAAGGAAAAATCATCAACAACATAACATAAACGGTCAACCAGAATAGAACTTCAGGAAAGAAACCGCCAAAAAGTTTCATGACTTTGGGAAGCAACTCAATGCGTAATCCAGAATATAAAAAACATCAGCATTTAAAAATAATGCTTCACATATTGAAAAATCATTTCACAGATGGGAAGAATTCATCCAAGCAAGAGGAATCCAGTTACGCACATAAACCTTTAAAATATCATGATTTCAGCATGATATCACATAAGACTTGCATTTTATGGACACCTATGCTGCAGCAAATAATAACTGCAACAGTCATATATGTGAGAAATGTCAGAACAAGCATGTAGCTACCCTTGCTCTGGAAATTAACTAATTATTGTCATTTGATATGCGTTTCCATCAAATTGCACTAAGGCACCTAGTATATGAACCAAATCAAGGTCAAGTACGGAGTACCGTCATATGCCATATTTCTGTAGGTTTGTCCATTTGATGAATTAGTTATTCGAGGTTTTGCGTAGCAAATTCATTATAGTTTAATATAGTCAAGAAAAAAGAAAAACATTTGTTTGCTTCATCTCAGATTCAAAGAACCAGCCAGGCAAATATATGAGAAGATACAGACATCCTTCTCCTTTTTGACACTTTGTCATAGACGTATAATGAGAAGAAAAGAATAAGAACCATTCACAGATAACATGATTTCAACAGAAGCTGAAAATGAGAGAAGAAAAACAGAGGAGAAGAAATTGCAGAGAATAAATGATCATGAAACTAAAGTGTGCATTCCTTCACTTGTAATCCAATAAATTATCTCCAGAACCTATATCTGTTTCATATTAAATGCCCTATGGCAGGTTCATATTCGTTTACTCCTATTAAATTTTGAAAAAGAGAAAAACGAGGTGTTCAATTTTCATATTAATACAAAGTTCAGGTCCCCTGCAGAGAACTCTGGTAAAGCGACATGGAGGTAGTCCCACCCCAAGCAATATGGTTATAGAACGGTTTAAGACCCCCTAAGCAACGACTTGGTTACATGTCATGCATCAATAAGTAATAAATATAAGGTACTGAAATCAATATATGGCATCAGTATATTTCATGGCCAGGTTAGCAACAATAAGCACAAGGAACTAAAATTCTAACATCTTAATTGATGAAAGGAATGGAGAAAAACAGAAATTTCTTTACAGCAGTTTAGTGTTCCTTCTGAATAATTACCTGAAGCACTATCTCATTTGGTTTCAATTTGATGGATTTTCTACCTTCAGCTTTTGTTGATATGTAATGTCCATCAGAAGTAGATAGGCGGTATCCTTGGACAAGTTTTGCCAACCCAATCTGGTCCCCATGAGAAGCAAACATCAAAGTTGACTCTATAGAAGTAGACAGCATGGATCAGAACCTTCTCAAAGTGTTTTCAAGTATATCAAACATCAAGAAACTTCTTCATTAAGTACCTAGTGGAGTAGAAAAGATGCGATCAACTTCACTTTCAAGCATAAATTGCATTGGACCCTTAACAGAAGCAACATCAGTATCTACTGACTGATTTTCCTCAATGGTTCCATTCTTTCCAAGAGATTCTTGTGAAGCTGCTCCCGGCAAAATATACAAAGAAAGCCCAGTCTTATCTTCATCAAGAATGGCAAAATGATTTTCATTAGGACCAACAAAGGCTGCGTCTAAACCTGAAAAATTTGCAGAGATGTATGGATCAAGAAGATTATTTCTTAATCATGCATAGGCATAATAATGAGTACAACAGCAGAAAGTAGCAAGCCAAAGATGCTGTACGAACCTTTAACTGTTGTTGCTTTACTATTAGCCAACTGAGAATCCGTGTTTTCCCAATACATTACTATTTCATTTGAGGCACCAGTGGACTCATAAACAACAAGAAACAGGTGCTGCTTTTTGCTGTGGACAATGTACTTTGGATGGAATTCCACATTTCCAGGAATCTGAGAATAGTAGATCAGTGAATGTTATAACTTCACAAGTTATAGTGGAAGTGTACGATGATCAACACTTTGAAGAAACAACTAATTTGATTACCGAACTATAGAGCTTCTTGTAAATATTCTCCACTCCAGAAGAGAGATTATAAGCCATAAGGTTTGCCCCTTCAATATAGAATGCCCGAACAGGATAGTGAAGAACTCTGTTCTCTTTATTGAAAAAATTTAGCTCCAGATGAAAAGGCTGCCAGAATAGTGCGTTAAAGAATATTCTAAGCTAAATTTTGTGTGCGTATCAGGTTATTTGCATGATTACCAGGCAAACCGGAAAGTCTCTTAGATGATGCTTAGTATCCAAAATTGTAATTAGAGGTAACCGAGATATTGGAGCACTTTTTGCATGGCCTTCCATGAAATGCTGTAACAAGAAGTAGAGTTCATGATTAAACAACATCTACAGTTTAGAACTTCAAATTTGATTAGAAAAATGCAGAGAAGTTGAGAGCTTTGCATCATCTAAACTTCTAATTGCATGTGAATGTATAGTCTCTTCCACAAATAAATAGACACAATATTCCAAACAATTGTGCACACTTCAGAACAATAACTGCTAAACATAAAGAAGGCAAACAAAGTAGGCAATTAATTCAAAAAGAATTAAGTAGATTAAATCATTACATTTGCTTTTTATCCTCCAATGAAAGTTCAAGATAATCTAACATCTAGGCAGTCTTTAGAAAGAAGTACAAATGGCTATAATGAGTGCAGCCCATGCATCCAAACATTGTTATATGGGCTAAAAGACCTAGTTAGTCTCCTTGAACTTTCAGTTGTAATAATTTAACCACTCAACTTTGGACGGTCTACCCCGTTAGTCACTAAATTGGATTTTGTCAATTTAAACTAATGGCCATGATGAGTTTACAAATGGAAGTCTGATGTTACCATTAATATTTCTCCACATACACGTCTTTTCCTTGACCAAAAAAGTCCATGAACTTTATATGATGCTTGCGAAAGATCCCTGTACTTTTAATTGTAAAAATTTAGTCACTCAACTTTCGACGGTCTACCCTGTTAGTCCTAAAATGGATTCTGTCCATTTAAACTAACAGTGAGATTCAATGACAAACAAAAAATTCTGGTATGGCCATTTACTTTCTCCACATTCGTGTCCACCTTGACCAAAATATATAGAAAAAGGTTAAGAATTGAAGAAAAAGAAATTTGATTTCATCTTCCTCAAAACCCAACCACCACAACCACCTGACGAATACCCGACAAACCTTGGACCTAAGGTCAACTACGACAATCCCGACCTAGTTTATAACATAGGACTTACAATAAAAGTTTTCCTCTTTAAAATAGGTTTAGTTAGTAATGGGGTTGATAAGTAACAAATCAGTAAAGGAGTTTAGACTTTAGACAATAGTAGGATAACCGGCATTATATTATCAAAATATCGGTTATACAAAAGATATCTAACACCACCATCATCAATAAGTACCCTCTATCTATGGCCAAAAGGATGACCTTCAACCCCCAAAAGCAGACAAAATGGAAAATAAGTCAGAACACATGAAGCCTCAAGCTCAGATAATGCCCAATAACGGTATCAGTGTAGGTAACAGTGAAGTCGGGAACATACTCCACAACCAGTGAAGTTCAATCATCATATATTTAATTATTGGCGAGGTGTTGGTCTGAAAATTTGACCGTCGTTCGGTATATCCAAGTTTTCTGTAGGTTCCCTCATTTCTGTCTCACTCAACATTCCAAGCTGGTTAGAGATGATCCTTTTAGAAGGGTAGAATCAAAGTACAAGTAGGTGTAACAGTCTCAAACTACAGCTTGCCAACTTAGCCTTGCAGTTGGTTTAAATGGACGAAATCAATTTTAGTGACGACCAGGTAAACCATCCAAAGTTCAACGACAAATTTTATACAATTAAATGTTAAGAGAACTTTTGCGAGCACCATAAAAATTTCAAGGGCTTTCTGGGTAAAAGGTGGACGAGAACGTTAAGACAATTAACAGCCACACAAATCTCGTTGTGCCAACTCAACATCGCCGTTCGTTTAGATGAATAGAATCCATTTTAGTGACTAACGATGCAAACAACCTGGAGTTACTAAAATTTTACAAGTGAAAGTTCAGAGACCTTTTGTGAGCACCGCATAAAGTTTAAGGACCAACTAGGTTTTTAAACCAATGGTTAAATGTCTATACACCACAAAATTACTTTTTTCTCTTTACGTGTTATATTTTATATTTTTAACGAAATGTAATAATCTGATTCAAAAAAAAAAAGAAAAAAGAAAACACTGCAAAAGTCACAACCTTAAACACGTCATCATGCCCTAGCTTTATTAATACACTGATCTTGATATGGAAAAACATATACATCTCTAACAACTAACAGATACTAGATATATCTTATCGAAAGTTCCACCATTCATAACTCTAAAAACTCGTTAACAGAAACGCAGTTCATACCAACTAATAAGATAAGATACATGAGATAGAAGAATTGATGGGTTAGATCAGAAATTCACATACACTGTAAAGAAAAGCCTTCCTTGCTATGTCTGAGATTGTAAGCTGACTTTGGCTGACATGAAAACAAAACAATTAGCCAGAATTATTTCCTTCCTACAGACATTCATAAGCAGTCACGTGTGGATGCACAATTTCCTAAAGGAGAAAATAATGTAAAATGTCTTTCAAAACAATTTCAGACTTCGCAAAAGAAGCTAGTTACAAGATAAACAAATGACTAAGCATAGAAAGAAATGCATGACACAAGTTATGCATCATTTCTTGCAATTGACGCTAAATTCGTAGTGAATTCTTGACCATCTATAACTATTCAATGAGGGATGGCGGTGCAGCTTTCAACATAAGATGATAGGAGGCTTATCTTCCATAAATTAAAATTGATACCTGGAGTGAGAATAAGAACAAACATTGGAGCAACAATTTCTTAAAAATATCAACTCCCAAAGCAGGTTGAAAATATTTAACTGGATGCGTTATTATTATTATAATTTATGTCACAGCATGTTTTAGAAAACTATTAACAAGAAAATATATAATTTCAAGCTAAATCACTATAGATCAGTCATCAACTAATCAAATTCAGCTATCATGTCAATGCGTGGTATCAAGGGATGTGTTGCACATTCATAACCACGACCACTATTATTAATATTATTATTACTTATGACGAACCATGTCTAGAAAACATTCAACAAGACAAAAACTAATTTCAAAATGTCACAGATCACACGGGAATTCAGCTCTAATTTCAATGGCAGGTTCAGCTGTTAGGTGTCAAATCTTACATAGTTTTGTAAAGGCAGATTGGAAAACATTCTTGATTACAACTCTGGCCAATTAAGTTTGTGGATCTTCAAAAAGTTTCCTTCTCAAAACTTCATTAAATTCTTGTCCTAGGACCATAAAACTTAATCCTAGAACTCAATCCTTGGGTAATCAATACTTGTATTTTGTACATCTTTTCACACTTTTAATCTAAGAGTTTCTATGCCAATATATTAAGCATTTCACATAATAAGATAAAGATATAAATGAAAACCCATTGTGCAGCCAATTATATTGGTAAACTTATACTTGAGTAAGAACATAAAATACATGTTCTGAAAGTTAAGGGAGATCTGGAGTACATAGAAGATTATCTTTCTTATGAGCTAGGTTCAATAAAAATCCCTTGTTTTGCCAAACAAATCAATAATGTTAAGATTGGGTATGATTTGGCTATGTCGAGATGTTATGGTGCTATACAGATTGTTCCTCCAGTATATTTTGCTCAGAGTAGCTCTTTAACTATTCCTGCAACTCAAAACCAGTTAGCAATGGTTTTCTGTCATTGCTGAAGAGAACAAGCCCTATGCACAAACCCATTTCAATCCAATGAACTAGCAACGAAGATTAACTATGAGGAGCCAAAGTAGTACGTTTGCATAGTATAAATGCATTCCACTCTGTAAGTACTAATATAAATAGTACTTTTTTACATTATGAAATCCTATCAATTTTGTAACTTTTGTTAGTCAAATAAGAAAATAAATTAGTAACTCCTGAACTCACCCTTTCAAATGATGCTCTTGAAGTTGTGCCTGAAGTTGGTGGTCAGCTAATATGCCAGACGAACCAAGGGATGAGAGTTTTTCCTTCAATACAGATGCTGCTCAGAATTCATGGTTAGTACCGAAAAAAAAATAAAAAATAAAAATAAAAATAAAAAATCACAGAGATAATCAGATTGAACATAATGTTCCCATGTATGTCTTGCTTTGGGGAAAGATGGGTTAGCATCAGGAAAAATATAATCAATTTGTGCCAAGAAAATTGCATTTGTTTTTTGTGTCAAATTGCGTGTTAGTTGTTACTCTCTGGACATGAGTTACTTTGCATGTCCACTAAAAGATCCTGTAAACGCTGGATCCAGTAAATCCACCAATCAACCCAATGAACAGAGGTATTTGGCTCATTTCATATGTGGAAAGGCGAAAAACTAACTGAAATAGCAGGTCAGAAAGCATGTTGTTGATCCAACAATTTGAGACGGGCACAAAACACAATGGATAAAAGCATTGACCTCTCATGGTATATTGACAAGTTCTGTACTAAATTGTGTTGATATCTCCAGGTAATCTGACACATTTATTAAACAGGTCTGTCTTTGTCTGTGATCAACTAGCCTCCATACATTTGGACAAACATGAACCGCAAAACTATCACCCCCTACCATAATATTCTAATAAATATAATAAAAAACTAACCATCCAACAAACACTTCCAAGTGAAATAACTCAATAAGTCTCTTGAAAAGAGGGAAGATAAAAAAGATAGGATTTGTTAAACTGATGCAACATATTGATTCCAGATACTAAGAAAAATGATTAGGATTTGTTAAACTGATGCAACAAAATTGATTCCAGATACAACTAATGAAAGTGACACACATTATGCCAATAAGGCAAGAACTTCCTTTGTTAAACTGATGCAACAAAATTGATTCCAGTTACAACTAATAAAAGTGACACACATTATGCCAATAAGGCGAGAACTTCCTCAAAGAATATACTCGACCAAATAATCAATTCTAAGATGTTCACCTGAAGATCCCCTTGCACTTTGCAGAACAGCAAAGAGTTGTTTTCGTCCCTCTCTGGTGTATGCAGCTCTATTCTTTCGATTGTCTCCACCACTCATGCTCTATATCAAACAGAATACATATACATCTTTTAAGTTTGACACATATAAGTTATTTTTGATGAAATCGATGATACTTACTGCAAAGAGTAATGCTGCTAGATTCAACTTTGGGTGTACTTCGAAAGCCTTAATTCGGGGAAGTGGATAAACTGCTTCTCCCCCTTGCTGAGAAAGAATGCGAGGGATGTCGATGGATTCAATTGCTGCAAATTAGAGTATAGGCAGTATCAGAGACTGAAACATAGGACAGAAAAAGCAAACGAAAGGCTGCAAAAAGCAGTAAATGCACAAAGGAATGCATTGAGAAAAGAATGTTCAGAGTAAATGAACATAGGAATTCAATAAATGAAAAATTCATGAGTTCTATGATGATCAAAGATATGGATGTATTAAATCAGCACCAAGAACCCTCAACAAAATAGAGTTGCTAAAGGAAATAATATAGCACTATAAAACAGGGCTGCACAAAAAAATCACGAAACCGCAAACCGAACCGAAACCGTTGGGTTGAAACCTTTGGTTTGGGTCCACTGAACCCGTGATTTTCTTTTCCTCAAACCGAACCGAACCAAACCGTTTCAAAATGGTTTGGTTTAGGATTTGATTTTTAAAAATCGCACAAAATCGAACTGAACCGTTTTAAATTTTTTTAATTAAAATATTAATTTTATTAACTTAAAAATTTTACAGTTTTCACTTTTCAGAAAAATATCAATTTAGTAATACAAATTACAAACAGCATATTGAAATAATCATAGAAAGTAAATTAGTTTTATCATTATCGACTTATGATTTAATAAGTTCACAACACATGTCCTCACCTAATATCTAAACTAAACTAAAATTATTCCAAAATCATATAAAATGAAATATATATATATATATATATATATATATATATATATATATATATATATATATTCAACAATCCAAATCATAATTCAACAAAATTACGTCAGCAAATCACGTCCAAAATTTCAGAAATTCTAACATAAACTCTCATTTCCCTAACATTTGAAACTTGTTTGCCACTGCTGAATGAATAGTCAGTCGCATTTGCCTGTTAGTCTGCTAATTTTTACCTGAATCGCCTATTTTTTCTTCTCTCCCGGTAAGTCTTAAATTCTCATTCAAACCATTTTTTGGTTGTTCTTTCTTTTATTTATTATTTTTGAACTTATTATACACTTGTGAATTGTAGTTTGGATAAAAAAATAACTGCTTGTATGCCTAGATAATTAATGAACTTGTTTGTAGTTTGGAAGGAACGAAGGATGGATCGTATTGATTGTGTGAAAATGCTAAAGTTTCCTAATTAGCACTATTACCTTCTACTTTCATAAAGTAGTTAGAGAATGACATTCGTCAATTCCCAAAACTCTATCAATCTTTATACACTTAAATATATCCCGTTCAATTCTTATTTAATATCTCACTAGCAAGACGAAATGAGTTTTAACCAAATTATAATAACAGAATGTAACTTTACCTTTACCAATCACTATATGACAATATGAATGTTAAACAAGAAAAGGTAAATAAAAATGAAGTAAGATGTATTTGTTCTATGAATATCTTTTAGCAACTAACTTTGAAAATAATTTGTTGATAGATTTCATGGTAAATATGAATATAATTTAACGTTTAACATTATTAGTTATCGTTTAAACTCGTATATTAACTTATATTAAATATATTATTATAATGTCGATAGGTAAACCGCGGATTAAAACCAAATCAAACCGCAAATTATGGTCTGGTTTGGTTTGAAAAAATTTCAAACCGCATAAAATGGTTTGAGTTGAAAATATAGCACAAACCGCCCCAAATCGAACCGCGTTCACCCCTACTATAAGATATTAAGAGAATTATACGAAATAAGAATAAGCTACCAAGTATTTCGGGGTAGAGTTTGTATATATAGATTGTTTTATGGGGTTTGAGCATTCTCCAGGCCAACATGAGCATCTTTTTCCTACTGAAAAACACCATAATCACATTTCAAGATATCAACAGTCACTTTTGCAGAAATAGGGATAACAAAAATTATTAATTATGTACCAGGGTTCAAAAAAAAAAAAAATCATAATATACCAGATTTGCCCTTTTCATCTAGTCGTATCAAATTTATACCCTTCATCAAGAAATTATGAAACTAGGAAGCACTTGTGTAAAAGATGCAAAACCAATCCTAGAATTGCTTTAGTGCAACCTCAGTCATAACTTTAAAAAATATAAGGATAAGTCGTTTTCAAAATCTAATAGCCCATTATAATATACAAGGGATAAACCACTAAATTTGCATCAGTGAACACAATGGCCAAATTTACCGTTCTTCATCACACTGAAAAGTGCAGAAAAGTAGATTGATTAACTAACCAGCAGGCTCAAAAAAGTTTGCTTGCATTGGAGGTCTATTAGCATTCACTGTTACCCGCGTTTTCCATACTTGAATACTTCCATCTTTGGACAAAGTGACAAGGAACCGCAACATTGGAAGCCAAGCAACTGAAGTTATTGGTTGAGAACCTACTTGTGTACTGGAATGAATAAAACAACTAAAGTAAAGAAAACAAGAATGATATAATGATGAAGACAAAGCTAGAGAGAAATTACAAAAACTGGTTCCTAACCATCAAGTAATTTTCTAGTATACAATTTCCAATATTTTCCAGAAGCAAGGACTTATAAAATCCGTCGTTATATATTTTGAAGCTCTAAAATGGTCCTAAAACTGTTATCACCAATGGACCATGTTCATTTTACCTACTTGTTGATTTTTGCAAAAATATCAAATTCTCTAAACGCACAAACGAACAAAATCCTGGCGAAATAGCAGGAAAGTGAGAAGAAGGTACATCAGTTGGCGAAGGGTAACGCATCATAATTAAAAATCTCACAGAACTATTAAAGTCATAATATTTTCTAACTATGGGTCCTCTCTCTAGGAGCATACAAAGATGACTACTACATAAAAATTGCTTTTAAGCACCTTTTAACTTGTAGCCCAACATGATAAAAATCAGATCAATATGGCAGGCAATATTAGAACAAGAAATTATAAAGTGAATGAGACTCCATTTTTTGGGATAATCCAAATGGATAGACCATAACCTGCAATATTAAAAGGCTAAACCCTGGACCAAAGCTACTGAGAGTTCAGTAAGAAAACCAAATCAAACCAATCCAAGCCTACCCTTTACTTTTTATGTACATTTGTTTTTCTTTTCTATTTGATGAAGAAAGAGAATTTTATTTCAAAAGAGTAAGTGTACAATTTAGGAGGACAAGCAGGCCTCATTTACAGAGAAATTGTAAAAAAAATCGAGACCGACAAATGGCATGTCAATTGCAGTTTAAATCAGTAGAAATAAACCTGATATTGTTCCAACCATATACTTATACGATATTTGACAAATGGTTTGTAATTTGGCTGGTAATTTGCGCTATAAATTATGTTCGCCTGTCTGCTAGAGTGTTGAAACGGAAGTCCTTGGAGAAGTTTTTAAACAGTTCATTTATTGTAGAGATCAGTTCAAGCTTAGGAACTTTCTTTTGGATTTTGATCATACCGGTTGGAGCTTGAGCTAGTTCTCACAGGCTTCGTAGATCTCACAGTTGCCAAATTTATTTTTTCTGGTTAAGGAACCTTCTAAAATTAATATGGTTTTGCATCTGTAGTCAAAATAATCTAGACGCATAATTCAAATTTTGTGGGGGCATCCTCCAATGACTACTAGGACGTGACCATGTATGAAAGTCACCCTTCATCTTTGCCACAGGTGCAGCTACAGGAATCTCAATCCCTATTTTCCCAATTAGCAAGGAAGTACACAAATAACAATTGAGACAAAAGGGATACGATGGAAAAGGAGAGATATCAAAAGGTGCAAATGGTAGACAATAGACCCCAAAATATTAAATTTAAGAATCAAAAGACTCCACATAGAGCAATGATAGAGTCCATAAAATTTATTAGACTCGAATAATTAAGTTTCCAGTATTATCCTTCCTACTAGTTTGTAAAATTGTAACTAAGAACATGTTTGAAATTGAAAAGGCTTAAATTATAATTTAAGATGGTCCAACATATGTTTTATACCCATATTTCATAGGATTCACAATTTACTACCCACATATTATTCACATCTTTCGTAGGACCCACAACTTATAAAAACTTAAAAAAACAAGCACTATATAAAATAACAGATGAAAACCTTTGTGTGACACTGCAGTAATGACTATAGAGACATATGTAACTTACATTCCAATCATTAAAGGTCTCTCGGTGGAAACATCCCATGCAAGAAGTGTACCCCGTCTATCACCAACAAAAATCCATTCCAGCATAGGATGAAATGCAAATGCACCAGCACCAAGTAGCTTAATCGTGTTATCAACTGCAAAAGGATCAATAAAATAAAAGGCTCCAAATCTAAATGGCCAAAATTCTGTTCAAAGGAGCTACACTTTCATATCTGTCAGGTGAAATAGAAAATAAAGTAATAGAGAAGTGTTGCTCCAATCTTACGTTGTAGTGTGTAGTTAACAGCATATGTATGGATATTGTAAGCTCGAATTAAACCGTCTTGATAAGCCACATACTGAATCAAAAAGAATGCACAAAAAATTAGCTGCATGGACATTAGGAACTCCATTCAAACAGCCAGAGAGAACTAACAAAAGTGATTCGAACTTGGAAGATGACATAAAAATGTTACCAAAGCCGGAAGGCGAGGATGGCAAGCAAGATTGACAACGGGTTTCTTCAGGTCAGTTTTTATTTTTGTCGGTGCTTTCCCACCTTCCACAGTCCCAACAACTTTGCACAAGCAAAAAAATTGTAGAATTAGAAAAGAAATATAAATGATCAAAACAGAAGTACTTTTTGATTTTGATAATTAGATAATTTTCTTCTGAGGCACAAAGTAGGTCCAGGCATGCAGCCCATATAATAGGCGTACAGCTTCTGTGACTGCACACTACTACTCAGACCCCAACAACCAAGCAGTCGCACCCATAAAAGGAGACAAACCGCCAGAGTGTTCAAAAAAGAAATAAAGGATTAAACAAAAGGGTCAGTTCTTATTCAAAGTAGGACTTTTTTGTAAATTCCAAATTGTCAATATCAGGTTCTTCATAACATATAGTTGGACATGTAAATACTTGTTCCATGCCAAGCAGACGTGTACGAGTCCACAGTTTCAGTCATCACTCATGGTCTAAAATCCTTCACAGCATCACGTTGTAAGAAAAGATGGCTGAAAAATTCCATCTCCAACCTACAAAAATAACATCTCCTATCTAATCTTTCCCCTCCCCTTTGAAAATGATCATTAGTGAGGCTGAGTCATCAGCTTTGTCCATTAAAAATATAGCATCTTCAAGGGGGGAAGAACTGTTCCAAGCTGCTTTAAAGGTTACACCACTTCTCTCTAACCAGAAGAGCTTAATAATAATACTTAGCAATGACTAATCCCTTCCTTTCCGAGGTCCAGACCATCCAGCCAGCTTCGGCAGCATCTAGATTTCCAGAGTGCAACAGCATAAGCATATCTTGCACTTGATCTAATTCCCACAGAAATTTAAAGTCCCAAATAAAGTTGCCATGCAACTGCTCAGCACATAGAAAGAGAAAAAGGGCCCAACATATCTAGGGCGTATGATCTATCTAGCAGTCATTTCAGAACTTAATTCTCCTATCACCGGGTGATGTAAGCAACATTGCTATGTTCTACAAGGTATCCAATGTTATTCTAGCAAAAAAATCTGCTATTATTACGACATCACCACTTCCATAATACCACAACTCAGGAGTGTCACTGGCACTGGTGATCATTATTATTACTTCTCACTACTTTCAATTTCTGAAATTATGTGCACATCCATTTGCATCTTCCATTTTCCATACCGTAACCATGAGGAAAAACAGAGAAAAGACTATCACAATCACTGGAACAAACAGCCTCTTCCCAATCACAATACCACTAACTCAATGAGCATGTTTGGCAGTATGCTTTTGTCACATAAAATCTCTTCAAACTGCCTTGAATTGTTTTATTGGAGGGAGTGGGCATAAAAGTGAAGAAGCAAATATCCTCATTTAAGGAATGATTTAAAAAATATATATATAAAATATAAAAGATATTAGACCAGATAGGCCCAACCTGTCACACTCATCTTCTTATGAAAACCGAAAAACACAACAGGTTGAAGAGGAGTCAAGGCGAGATGAACTTCAGTGTCAGTAGAAATTTGTTCCATCCTCTTTTCAGGTGAATGCAACACACATGTTTGCTCGCTGTCAAAATCACAAGATCGTATTGTACAATCCTACAATATGATACAATGAGCGTCACCCACATGCATTGAAGAGATCAGAATAACAAGTGATGTGCAATTAATTTTAACCTGAATGAAGCTGGGATGAGTGGGAGAGAAAACAATTAAGAAAAATAATACAAGAATTTATAGCAAGATTATAGCTAATGCTATTTGAAAGTAATACGGAAGCATATCATTGAAGCTTTAATATTATACACGGGCTTTTTGAATATAGAAGCACAACACCGTGACAACTCGCAAAAATTCAAAAAGCAATTTGCTGAAAGCTTTTTGACTATCATCTTATAGTATCCTCTCGGACCTTATTCTTGCAAATTTTATTTCTAATTTTTCATAATAATGTTGAGTTTCCTTTGGGGGGCAAAAGTCAACTCTGCCACATGGCAAGGAAATTAAATTAAAAACTTATAAAAAATTAGAATATTTCTTCTCTTTTTTATTTTTCTTCTGCACAAAATATTCCAATGCCAATGTTTCAGCTTTGTCAAAATATGTCTACATGTACCACAATCAAATTTCTCCCTTCTACTGTAGTGATAAAAATACTATACTGATCAGATTCCACAATTGCAGTCCACAAATCCGAAGTTCAACCATTTTCAGGAATTTAACAAGACTAAATGTAACCGACTTTTACTTCCTTGCTAATGATTCCAAAGCAGACCAATCAGCCAAGTGATCGTTTTACTATTTGATGCACAAATCAAAACTACTACGAAAAGAGGAACCCATTGCACAGCCCCCACCCAGTCTCAACTTCCCCCGCTCCAAACAAAACAGAAGCAAGAAAATGAAATTTTTAAAAAGAAAAAAGAATCACTGGGAGATTCAATGCAGTTTTCTCATGTAATCAGAGTAACTAAATCTCTACATCAATTATTTCAGTAAAGCAACCTTTTTCACCATAGAGTCTTAGAACTCAGATCCTCTTAGTTTACTCCCACAATGTCATACATACATAGAGTAACCATGCAATCCAACTGGGAACCATTCTCAACAAAAGATATTTTATATCATCTGCACCAGATTGGACCTACTAGAACAAAAATTGTGCCAGCAAACTAAACCCATAAACCGAATACTGAATATAAAGCAACTAAAAGTTCCTGTATGAATCATTTTCAATAACTATGTCTCAACTGTTACATTACATGAGGTTTCATGTGTTTATTTCATTCAAAATGATTGAGTATTTTAAGGACTCAACAATCAGGCCAAATGCCATATTTTACTTTTGTTTTAATGCGTATTGTTCCTTGTTCATAACAGTCTATGAACTCTTGGCAAAAATAAAAATAAATACGGAAAGTCTGAGTACTGACCTCGAGTATGGCTATCACTGAATGGCCAACAGTAGGGCTATAAGCCATGCGAACAACTGGCGAACCTATGTCCAGCGCCGCGATCTTGCATCCAGTATATGCATCTAACTCTATACACAGCATATAAAATTCAAAAATTACATTATCATACTAAATATGGAGCAAATGTTAATATCTTCATTTTTTTTTTTAAGGAAAAGGGAAACAATTATTAAATTGTACCAATGATGTGGGTCCCAATAGCGACGGAAACAAGAGCTTGCGTCGGGTGGAATGCTGCAGCGTGAGGCTGCAAGGGTTTGGAGCTCCGATCCACGTGCCTGAGATCCAAATGCTGTAGGGTGGCCCACTCCATCGATCCAACCCCCAATTCTAGTGTTCAATTTTCAAAGCTGTATGACGATTCACAAATGTATATCTATAAATTTAGACTCGAAAAATTTTGCCTACTAGTTCAGATCATGGAAATGAAATGGTCTAAATCAACATAAAAAAAAAAGAATTAAAATAACTAAATCTAGATCAATTTTCCAGGATTTCTTCAGGGCGATTTTGGTAAATTTATTATTCGAGAATTACAGTGGGAAAATGAAAATGGAAAGACGAAAAGTTCTAAGAGGAGGAAGAAAATGGAAGGGGTAGAAGAAGAAAGGATAAATTGCAAAATGACCTCACAGGATTTCGCTAAGTTATATTTAAACCCCCTGATTTTCGAGAAAGTGGTACCCGGGATTTAGATTCGCTAAGCCTAGAGTTTTAGATCCAATAGTGGAACCAGTGCAAAATGTCATTGTACAAAACAAGTGTTAGTAGGATCTTAGCTTTTGATCTCAAATGATTAAGAAAAGCACTCTTGAAGTGATTAATATAAATATTATTTTGTAAATCAACTTTGTCAATTAATTTTGTACAAGTAGCATGACTCGCGAAATGTCACGTGCAGAGTAAATGGATTGTTTTAATAAATACATAGGAAGTAACTTCCATTTTAAAATGAAGAAAGGTTCAAGATTTCAAAAAATAAATATTAATTAAATATTTATGAAATAACTAATTAAAAATATATTTTATTAGTTAATTATATTAAGATACCAATTCTATACAATTTGGTTACAAATTATTGAATCAATTGGTCACAAATTATTTCTTGATCACAAATAAAAAATTGTATAGCTCGCAGTTGTTCATCAATCACAAATGACTACTTTTATAAGTCACGACTTATTTAACGGCCACAAACTATCAAATTAATTGGTTACAAATTGTTTCTCAATCACAACTTAATAAATTGTGAATTACATCATATTTTGGGGTCACATATCATTTATTAATCACAAATTCAACCAAATAATTGGTCACAAATACTCCACCACACGCCCACCCGTTCCTGTCTCATCCCCACCCCACCCCACCCCACCCACGACCATAACCATCACCAACATCACCACAACCTTACCAGACAGTGCAAAACCGCCATCACAACACTACCACACACTACAGCAATCACAAAACCACCACCACATCGCCCACAATACCACTACAGTACCGCACCATTTGAACCTACCATCCTCGATGCTAGGTCTAATTAGAGCAACTAGGGCCATTGAAACATCGTAGCAACCAAGGTCGTAGCGAGTTTTCAGCCGCACTCAAAAAGAATTGGGACTTCGCATCAATCAGGCGTCACTAAGAGTGAAAGGAAAGTGAGAATTGGAATGATAACGCCATTGCGACTTCGTGACTTGCTAGGTGATGACGACAACGGCTGGGAACTGGGATACCGACAGCTAGAAGTTGTGATGTGAGTACGCGAGAGAGATAGGAAATAATTATGATTTAGGTGAAGTCTGGTAGTATTATTAATATTAAAGATTTGAATTAATATCTGATTTTGTATAAACAAACTCTAGATCTGATTTTTTTAGTTAGATCTTAAGACAATCTGATTGAGACTATGTTTGAACCATATTTTTTCAAAAAAATACATTCTTAAACAATGATTTGACATAATTTCAACCACACATTCTTTAATAAAATAATATTACATAAAAATTCAAAACATTTCTTTATTTTTTTAACAACACATTTTCCATCAATACATTATACAAAAATGCATTCTTAGGAATATAATTTGGCTCAAACAAGGGTTGAGTGCAATTTTCACTAAGTACATTACATTATGTCTAGCAAATACCATGAGAAGGTAAATTTTCGTTTGATGGGAATTAAAATTAGATTTTAGTAGATTTTAATAAAAAATGATAAAATATATGATTAAAAAACTGTTAATCTAATGAAATACGTGGTTAGAATTGTTAACTTTAATTTAAATTAAAATTTTAATTTTAATTTTTATTAAACAAAGGCTAAATGTTCCAAATCTAACAAAAAAGTGCTGTAAAATCTCAATATTTTTCGATTTTGGTACAAGTTTACAAACTTTAATATTATGCAATGTGAGGTTCTTTGGATCAATATTTTAAAAATCAACCTGTGAACAACGATCCAAAAAAGGGAGAGGGTCAAACGAATCGGGGTCGAGCCAATGATTTTTAAAATTTTCAAAATAAATAAATATACAAAAAAAATGAGAATATGGAGTAATTTAAATGGGCCAGAAGGCCCAAAACCTATTGTAACGTGTTACAGATACATGGCCCATGAATGCAAACCCTATTTTTTGAACACCTTCCTCATTGTTCCATGTCAAAACTTTGGTAACTGTTAAAATTCTTGTCGGTGCATTTCTTCTCAGATCTCTCGTCTCTCTAACATATATAATATATATTTTTACAATGTATACAAATACATCATCCAAAGTATGAGCATATATGTCAGGGAACTTATTTTCTTTCTTTGTAACTAGATTTTTGATTTACTAGAGCTATTGTAATTTTGATCAATCGAAAAGTAAGGGTTGTGTTCATGATCAAAATTCGGTTCAGTCAAAGTGATGAAATCATTTGTGAAAAAACCGATAATCAATTAAGAAAAAATATGGGTTCATGATTTTTTGGTTAAAATCGGCCGAATATTGGTTTTTTCTTAACCGGTTTTATCACTTTGATTAGATTTTGATACAATTTTCGATTTTTCCAATTGAACCGATCGATCCAATCCGATCTGATTTTACAACATTGCTTTATTTTTTTCATACAAAATAATGTCAGTTGATTCAAAAGTCACTCCTTGACCAATCCAAAAAAGATAAAAAGTGCTTTTCCATATTACCTCGTTTAGATGTTTAAAACGATAAACAAAACAAGGGGGAAAAAATAAATCTATTAATTAATATTTCATCTTCTTCACTTATCCTATCCTACCTCATCCATTCCCTAATCCCCCTCATGTCCACCACCACCTAATCCACAATCGTTGCCAACATCACCCTCACCTACCATAATAAGAGAATATATGTTGTTCTTAGCAAAATGAAAAAAAGTAATGATTTTCACCAATTAAAGATATGAAAATAATAAAAGTGAAAAATAAATGTGACAATGAACTAGGTAAGGGGCATTGCCTTGCTCTACTAGATCTTGACCCAAACCCACCCATCTTGTCTTAGTGCTTGTTTGGTAGAGATTTTGTTAATTGATTTTTTGACTGTTAAAGATAAAGTAGATCCTACCTATAAGAGAAGAATTCAAAAATGACGGCTGAAATAGTGAAATAATGGTCAAAAAATTTATTATAATTGGTTTAAAATCTAAAACAAACAAGCTCTTAATCGGGAATGGTGATGGAGAAAGATGATAAAAATACCATACGGGATAGGGGAATAGAATAGCTAAACGATCCCTACCTTCTTCATTGCCATCCCTAAATCCACCACCTACTTCACCTCCTTCCCCATCTAACGAAATCAAAATAGAATTTCTACTTTCACAACCAATGATGAAGGGATTTCTCTTCCGAGTCGCCAACCATGTTTATTTATTAAGGGGCCGAAAACTAGAGGGTGGGTGCTGCAGTGATGGTAAAGAGTAAGGTAGGTACATGAAGGTAGAAGATCCAGCATCGACTTTTATGGAACTCACTAGAATTCTCTAGTTATGCTACAACACATTTCTTGATGTTGCTTCTCTAAGTAGACCTGGAATCATCTAGAACATGCAAAATAATCATTTCCATCAAAAATTATCTAGAATCACCGACTATGAGGAAGCGTCAAGAATTTTCTATAAAATTGATGATGATTCTTTACTAGAAGATACTAGAAGAATCTAGAATGCATCCATGCTTGATACTAGAAGAATCCAATTACTATCACCACCATTTATGGATATATCTAGAATCAGGTTCACCACCATACTAGAACCATCCATTAACATCTATAATACAAGATGACTATGTATGCATGAGTGATGAGAGAGAGTGTAAAGAGAGTAAGAGCAAGAAGAAAGAGTGGGAAAAAGAGAGATAGTGAGACAGTGTAGTATTTTAGAGAGAAGTGTTTTCATATAATCAAAAGTGTGTAAAATATATTTCATAAATAAAATAATATCTTTTTTTAAGTCTTAAATTCTACAAGTGGTATCAGAGCAAGGCAGTCGGGGAAAGATCTTTGAACTTCTTGAGCTCGTGCACAAAAGGAGTTTGTGAAGCTTTTGTAAAACTTGCTTAATTATGAGGAGGTAAATCAAGTCACGATGAGCAACCTACAAACAGTAGGTGGAATAAAGAAGCTCAATAATTAGAATTACACCACGTGGCAAACTTACATGAAGTCATATCTCTAAGGACAAGACATGTGGAATTGACGTCGTCAGAAAAGGCCAGAGCTCTGAAAAAGTGGAGAATCAAAGCGGGCAAGGCTTTGTTTGTTATAAAAACAACAATCGAAGAAGAATTGTTCGAGCACATAAGAGATAAGACCATACTAAAGGATGCATGTAACACTTTGGCCTCATTGTTCTCGAAGAAAAATGACCTGAGGTTGCAACTTTTAGAGAATGAGCTTCTCTTGATCACTAAAAAGAAATTAACAGTAAGTCAATATTTTAATAAAGTTACATCTCTCTGTTGTGAAATTTCAAAATTAGATGCTTCAAGTAAAATTTCAAAATCTCAAATGAGAAGAATAATAATACACGGTTTGAGACCTGAATTTAGAAGATTTATTGCCGCAACGCAAGGTTGGCCAGAGCAATCTTCATTAGTTAATCTTGAAAATTTGTGGACTGACCAAGAAGCGTTGATCAGACAAGTGTTAGGGATCCCAATAAAGAAAGAAGAGGAAGAAGCATTAGCTATAAAAGAAGAGGTCGACCTTGTCAACAAAATAATAGAGAATTAAAAGAAAATAAACTGGTTTAAAGAAGCTATCAGATAAGGGAAACTCAATAAAATTGCGACAAGAGAGGTAAAAGATATCAACGATCTAATGACTCGTGTTTTGTATGTGGAAAACGAGGCCATTACACTAGATATTGTTGGTTCAAAAAAGAGTCAACAGAAGGCAAAATAGCAACCTCCAACAAGTAAGAGAAGTACACCAGTAAAGAAGAATGAGATGCTGAGGCAACGACAACAACAATTAAGCATACTCGAGAGAAGAAATTAAACTCAAGTGTGAAGGATGAATCAGCATTAGTGGTAGTCCTGCCAAAGCAAATAAATTGTGAAGGTGATTGGGATGATGAGTCAGGAGAATATGATTAGATTATTCAGAAGAGGACATCGTGTTTCATAAAGAGTCTTCAGGGTGAACTCTGTAGACAGAGGAACTATTAGAATTAGAAAAAGTGTTCGAAGAAATGCAAACACCACAGAAGGTGGTTATGTTAGATTAACATCGCAGAAGGTGGAGCAGACACCGAAGAGGGTAGATCTGCTAGATTTAAAGGAAATGGAGGACAAATTGCAAGAGGAAATTAGGGAAGCACAATGAAGCCCTAGAGAAACTAAAAATTTGTGAATGCTAAGTAATAAAGAAGAGTTTATTAGAGAAAAACAGAGTACCGATGATAGATAAGGTCAACAAGAAATCGAGGTATGTATAAATTTACAACCACAAATAAGAAAATATGGTGGACGTAAGAAAGCAAGTATCAAGTATGCAACTTCTGAATAAAACGAGAGTGCAAAAAAGCTAGACATATTTAAAGTCACGGATATGTTGAATAAATGATCAAACGCTTCAAAAGTCATCGAGTTTGAAATACAACTAGACGAGACGAAGAAGAAAAATGTTAAAATGAAAAGTCGATGATGAAGGGGAGAATTGAAGATCCAGCACCGACTTTTGTGGAACTCACTAGAATTCTCTAGTTATGTTACAACCCATTTCTTGATGCGTCTTCTCCAAGTAGACTTGGAAACATCTAGAACATGCAAAATAATGATCTCCACCGAGAATTATCTAGAATCACTGACTATGAGGAAGCGTCAAAAATTTTCTAGAAAATTGATGATGATTTATGACTAGAAGAATCCAGAATGCATGTTGAGAAGATACTAGAAGAATCCAATTACTATCACCACCATTTATGGATGTATCTAGAATTAGGTTCACCACCACACTAGAACCATCCACAACCATCCATTAACACCTATAAATGCAAGGTGACTATATGCATGAGTGATGAGAGAAAGTGTGAAGAGAGTGAGAGCAAGAAGAAAGAGTGGGAAAGAGTGAGATAGTGAGACAGTGTTGTGTTTTAGAGATGAGTATTTTCTTATAATCAAAAGTGTGTAAAATCGATTTCATAAATAAAATAATATCTTTCTTTAAGTCTTAAATTCTACAAAAGTGAGGCGGTGGTAGGAGTTCGGTGGTGATAGTGGTGAAAATGACAACTTTACTCTCTCTCTCTCTTTTCTACAATTTTTTTTTCGAAAAAATTCTTTTGATGTATTTTTAATTGTTTTAAATGAAAAATTAGGAAGGGACAATTTTGTGCTTTTTAAAAATTCTGAATGAATGTCAAATTCTTCATGTAGTCAACCAACGCATTCTTGAACAGCATCCATCTAAAGGACTTTATACCAAATATTTTTGCAAGCATTTGGGATTGCGGTACCAAAAATGAAAGTTGGGGACCGAGCAACAGTTTTTGAAAGGTTCGAAACCTCTGATATAATTTATCCCCAAACAAATTATTTCTCCAAATATTGTCCAACCTTATCCTTTTAGCAAAATACTTGTGTTATGATGTGATCATGCTATTGGTATGACACACTATGATGTGATCAACATCACCACTCTTTGTGCTAACGTCACAACCACCTCTACCCATACTACCACTGCTTGCCTCTACAATAAGCTTCTGCCTACAAAATTGTAACTCATCCCACAAACAATTATGACACTTGAAATCAAGCCTCCACACCATTGTTGTCGTCACCTCCACCATAAACCCCACAATAGCCATCAAAATCAGTGTGCATCTCCACCATCCAATTTGTACCACCACCATTTCAACCCCAAACCACCACCGCCGCCACCTTCATAAACATTAGATCTGCCACCAAATAAAAAGTGGGAAAAAAATTCACACAATATAAATCTTACACACATGATTTTTATTTTAGATACGCATGCACACAATTGTATGTATATACAATGGCAAAGGCCAAGATGTACGTTCGCTAGCATAAATTAACTAATAACTTTTTGAAACAAAGAAATACACAATAATATTAAAAATATCAAAAGATTTCACAGTTGTTCTTTAGAGATTTACATACTTTGAAAAACGTCGTATAATGATATCATTTTTAACTTTATGAAATATATCTTTTTTCTTTTTATAATATAATATCATTCATCCATTAATCTACAATTCTGTTGCACAGTCAAATCTTCATAATATTTATTGCAAAAAAGACTCTTTATACTGTAGCAGTTGCAACCACAAGAATAAATGCTAAAATCACAAGCTTTCAACACTATCAACTTGGCCAAAAGATCACCAAGAACTCGTAATTCTTCAAACTCTTTACTAGAGTGTACATCAATGATTAAGTTTCTAGTTGATAATTAAGTGCCATTAGTTCTCTACACAAAAATCTTCTGGATAAAATTTAGCTAGGCGAATTAATCTTTCGACAAAATTTAGCTAGGCGAATTAATTTTTCCTTGTCGAAAGAGAAATGAATCACTTGGGCATAAACATGAAATGCAAAGAATTAGCTCAGTATTTACCTTACAAAATGATCAATTAACTCTTGAAGTCACATATTAATGATACATAAAATATATCCACATGATAGTGATACAAACTTGTCCTCTCTTCAACGTTACAATGCTCATTTCATAGTGAAAACCTGAAATTACAAACAGACCATTAATGTTTTGAAACATCAATTTTATACTCTTGAAAACAAGAATTGATTTGTTTCGATAAAGAGTTTCATCTATCGTCCCTCATCACTTGGAGTCATTTATATATATTCAAAAACCTAGGGTATTTCTTAATCTTTTCTTTGTAATGCCTTTAATAATTCGTTTGAAATTCCAAAGATATTTCTCATGAGATTTAGATTGAATGCAAACTGAGATTCTTCACATCCAACATATAATTTTCATTTTAAGGACATCAATTATAGTTGAAAAAAATATTTGAATCAAGTTCATAAAAGTACCATAGTGAGAGCCCCAATATGTATCACTAAAACGTTTTAGAGTAAACTTTTGATTAAGGCCATGTCCACTTGGTATTTCACAATCACTAAGTACTTCAAAAATTTTGGTTGCTTGTATTTCTCAAATAAGATCACATCTTTTAGCTGATGCTCAAACAATATTCAACACATAGCAATTAAATCAAAAAGTTTGCCAATGTATATGTGTTTCTTTGTTACGGATACGAGAGTTAATCGACATCAACTAAACAACAATGAATACAAAAGGCACCTATGAGCGTTCTCTTTCAAAATAATTGTTTTCAAACCTTTAAACTCACCTTGCATATTGTTAGCACCATTATTACCTTGTCCTCTTAATCTAGATATACTCCATGCATATTTATAGAAAGAATTTATCAATAGCATCCTTAAGTGATTGAGCCATGGTACTAGAAAACATGTTCAATACCCACAAAACATTCAACTACATGCCAAATTTGTTCACGCAAAATAATACACATTTGATCCTTTACTAAGATACCACAAGATTCGCCAACTAAAACTAAAAATGAAGAATTACTTATGTCTTTTGATAATAAAATCATTAATTTCAGCAGCAGCAACACTTACAATATCCATTTAAACATCAGGGAAAGTTAAATTGAGATTCTGTGGAGCATCTTTCATAGTAATAACTTTAATCTCGTCACTGTGATTGGCCAAAAGCTGCAAGATATTGTTAAGTGGAACTTGTTTGAACTTTTTGAAAAATTTGAAACTCTTATTGAAATTATTTATTTATTTCTTTTCTTTTCTTTTTTATTTAAATAGAATTGTAAATTCATCATTGTATTGGGCTTTAATGGAGGAAATGGACGTGAGGACCCAATAATTAAAACGATAGAGTTTTTGCACTAATTACTCATTTTACTTTATCAAAAGATGGTTCAGTAGATGTCAATTTAAGAAACTAAAATCTTTAAATAAGATAGAAGGTTAGCAGCCTCTCTATTAAAACATGCCTTAAAACACATAAGAGAAAAGTCGGCACCTTTAGCAGCAAGCAATATCAAAGTTGAAACTGAAACTAAAATCTTGACTAATGCCATTTGATCATATCCAATGCTGCATACAAAGATGCAATATCCGTATAGGACTATATTATTTGTAATATGTATGTATTCTGATTCTCCTATATAAGTATCTGCAAAATTAAGGGTTATGACTGCCTACTATTGTTCTTCAACTGGCTTTTGAAGCGGAGCCTTCCAATTATGACTTTCTGACTTATCATCATCTTCTTCCATGCTGTTTCGACCTGTGGCTGAGAGCCCTTTAGGAGACCCTCCCGGACGCAGAGGGCCCTGTGGGGAGCCAGATTGTGCAGCATTAGCCTTGCATTGATCTTGTGTTAACCGCGAGCAACTCGACACATCAGGCGACAAAGTAGGAAGCTTACGGATATGAAGCCTGTATTTCTGAAATCACATACACATTTTCATCATACCCAGTGGTGGATACAGACATTTGAAGTTAATGGAGCACGATCAAACTTATTAAAAAGTTATTAAAAAATTATGTATACTACATGAACACATATATGTGATAATTGTCATAGATTCACAAATCTCATATGATAAATAACAATTCTCAAAGAATTCAAAATAATCTCACATATATGATGAATAACAATTTTCAAAGAATTTTCAAGTTAAATATCGTAAATGACAAAATAATATCAACTCTCACTCTCTCAATTGTTCGATCATCGCTATAACTATATTCTAATAAAAAAATCCAACTACCATTACTGCCCAAATTTGATTTTTGGCTCTAATACCAATAAATAAATAAAAATTCTTGAAAGTTGGTGGGTCACTTGACCCACCAGGACCATTGGTAGGTCCACCAGTGATCATACCCCCAAATTCATTGTAAATAAAACTTGGATCATGTTTGGTTAGATGAGAATGTAAGTAAATTATTTCGACATTAAAACTAAAGGTACTTTCAAAATAAGTAACTTTTTTCACATAAAGGTAAAGATACAAAGTTCACCTGGTAACCAGAAATGTGAAGCAAAACGGAATGAGTTTGATAGTATACCTGCAAATGGCTTTTTACTTCACCATTGGTCAGGCCATCTACTTTCATGTGTTCTCTTATTTGCTTTGGTGTAGCCACTGGGAAAAACATAAACCCACAATTAAAATCTATTAAAAAGACTATTTGATGGAGCTTGCTACTCCAAATTACTCAAAACGTCATTCTCAAGCAGTTTTAAGAGAAGATCAATGTATATATTTTTTATGAAAATTGATGCCACTCATGCACCATTACACTATATTTTTCTCCTGGTGTTTGACATAAGTTTTTCTGATTTTAAGATAATATCTAAGAGGTGGTCTAAATTAAAAATCCTAAACTTTGGAATTTCTTGAATTAGCTAAACTTAAGAATACGGAATGCTAGGTAGCTTGTTTGGTAGGCAACAGTTGGACTCCATAAGGGTAAGTCAAGAATTTAAAATCTTTTTTATTGCATCGTCAAATTTAGTTTTGTGCACCAAACATTCATTTACGATGTGTTTTTGTTACGTAGGGTTAGTCAAGATGGGAAGAGGATGTTAAGATTTTTTATTTTTTATTTTTTATTTTTGAATATTGTCATACATTCATTCCACTTTACAAACCATCCATTGACATGCATACTTCTCTATTTATTTATAGATTCCACTATTTGCAAGCTCCAACACGAGCAGAGGTGCAATCAACAAAATTTCTATGAAACAATTCACTTAAGTGCGGTAGGAAAAAGAAACAAATTAAAATCTCAACTATTGTCTTATCCAGTCTAATCTCGTATTGCATACCAAACATAACCTATTGGGTGTTGAAGAATACCACACAATAAAAGTGAACAGTGTTATAATCTATTTTTCTTCCGTGTTTGTTTCTACATTGCACTACTTGCAAACCTCAACTCAATAGAAGTGCAATAAAAAAATTTCAATGCAAGCATATCACTTCAGACCATTAAGAATGAAAATGAAACTTAATATCTTGTAAATTGTACATTTCAGTTCAGTCCATCATTGCACACCAAACATGACCTTAAGACGCATTTTGTTACACTTAATTTTATATTTCTTTCTTATATTGTATGCCATTATTTAGTCGCCTCAACCAAACAATTCAAAAATGCATATACTTCCCTATTTATTTTTAGATTGTAGAGTTTGCAAGCTACAATCATCATAGAAAGTGCAACCAAAAAGTTTTCTATGAAACAAAGAATTTCATCTTATTATAGGCTAACATTATCTAACCACCTCAACTCCTTATGTATCAATAATCTCTTTTAAAAGTTTAAGCCATTAGTGAGCTCCGAGGAGGAAGGGATACTATTTTAGCAATCGAGTCCCGAGAACATGTTTTTGGTAAATAGTCACCCGAGTCTGGTCATTGTGACCTCCTTTGTGAGGAGGCACCCTTTCTCCTGGCAACAAATCATGAAATCTTGGTGATTTATTCTATCCAATGAATAGAGAGTCTGCTTTAAAATCATCCAGAGAAGTCATGGGTATTCATCTAAATAGTGTTGTCGACACATTCAATCATCTGAAGGCTGAGTTTGTTTTTTGATCACACGTCTAAAACGTGCACAATTTTTTTAAAAATGAGTAATGGGGAGATTTGAAACCGTAGACATTGAGGCCACGTTAACCATCACATCTAAAACCATAATCTATTGAAGAGAAGCCACATGTATTATTTATATGTTGTCTTTGATAACCTCCGACCGAAACAAAAGGATAAAGGACAATATAACAGATAAGTGTAATCACCTAGTGCACCGCCGAGCTGACGGAGTGCGCTGACAAATATCTTGTGCAACTCAGGGGACCAACACCTCCTATGTTTCTTCTGCAGTTGGTGCTGCTGTTGTGCCCTACAATTACCAGAAATGGACAGGGATAGACTGTGAACTGGCATAATCATCCCCTTCTCTTCTTCAACAGTTCCATGACATGTTTTCTGAAATGGAACAAATTTGTTCTCCTTTCCTTTGCCATTCTCTTCTTGGTTAGATGTCTGCAATCAAATATTACATTACAAAAAGTTTGCTTAAATTTTTATTTTTTTTTTTATTTTTTTTAACGAAAAAAAAAAAAAAAAAAAAAGAAAGGAGTAAACCAGCTCTTATGGTAATTTATTGTTTTTTCATCTTTATTCGACATGTGATTTTACTTTTTATAGAACTCATAACCTTTATGTTATCAAGTCGAATCACCTCATCTAAAGCTTAAACTTGTAAAGAAAATACAAATTTATTTGTAAATTGTCATTCAATGATTATTTCTTTAGAAACACAGATTATATTATATAAATAACAAAAGAACAGTGAATAAATCTTACTAATTTTTGGTGCAAAATGGAATCTTGATTTCTGATATCAAAATTATTCCCATAGTGAACAGGGGTGCTCCACAGCTGAGCAGAACTCATCCATTTCTTCTTGTCAATACAATCATTTGACCTTTTTACCCCTCCATCTTCCTCATAATTACTCTTCAATGAAAACTCCATCACTGGCTCCACATCTTTTCCCTTCCACTGCAATCCCTCCTCCTTCAATATCTCAATTGCTACAAAAATCCAATAACCCACAAAAAATATTAACTAATTTTCTAAAAAAAATTAAATTAAATCTTTGAAAAAAATGCAAAAAAGAAAATTACAATTATACCATCCTTCAACAGGCTCATTGAGTAGGGAAGTTCACACTTGAAAGCATCAATTTTTGACATTTCTAGCTCCAATGCATGAACATAAAATTCCAGCTTCGATAATTTCTTGGAAAAATCATCGATGAATGAAACTTCTTTAAGAATTTCAGAAAATTTCCTTGGAACAGTAATTGAAAACACCATACTCAAATCATCATTCATTTTTAACTCTTTTTTCAAGATTCTTTTTTTCTTTTTCAAATCTTTTGCCTGTTTCTTGTAGATGTATTTGTTTGTGTTTGTGATCTTACACAAAGAAAACATGCATGGAGAGACGGCGGGGGTTGGTGGGGCGTCTAATTTATTGTTTGTTGAGACTTGAAAGGGGTGAAAAATGATAAAAAGGATTGAGGAAAAAGAAGGAAATGAATAGTGGGGACATGTGATCTGATTCTTCCAACAAAAAGTTGAGTTTGTTTTACAATTTCACACACATTCGGATTCCCCGTCGTATATTTCGGTTATTTGCAAAAAGAATCTTTTTACTGTCCAGTTTGGTTAAGCTTGAATTTTTTTTACTTATAAGTACATTTGAAAATAAATAAATATATTTTTTTTTGTGTTCAGTAGTGTAGTGGAGTGGAAAATAAGTAATTCTTTCCTAAATTTTAGGTAAGAGACCATCTTCTCTTAAAAACAAATGAAAGAAAATTAGTGTAGTTGTATATGTAGAAATGGATATATACTTATATAAACTTAGTCGAACACGTCATACGCTTGGAATCTTGTAAATTTTACTGAAATAGATTTCTATAACAAAATTAAGAGCCTGTTTGGGAGTAATTTTGAGAATTGATTTTTTGACCATTAGGAGAAAAGTGGGGTACACTCGTAAGAGAAAAAGTCAAATATGACGATTGGAATAATAAAATAACGGTCAAAAAATCAATTTTTGAAAGAAAAAATCACTTCCAAACAAGCTCTAAATATATTTGATCTAAGTTGGCCTTTCATTCCCACATAAAAATCATCCATGGTTTTCGAGGTATTATTGGGTTAGAACCCCCTGGACGTCTAGGGGATTGTCCAAGGGGCTTTAGCCTTGGTTTTCAGCCGATTCCTTGAAATATTAATATTTTAATATTACAAATGGAAAATTCATTAGTAATCTTTTATTTTTTAATATTATTTTTTACTTATATCGGTCCATTAAATTTTATTAATATACATTTCTTAAATAACGACTAACGAAAAACTCCATTTTTGATCTTAAGTTATTATTTTGTTTCTGTCAATAATATTTGTTCTTGTTGGTAATTTAAGTTTATGAATTGAAATATTTATTACATAAGGAAAAATCCATCTTTGATCCCACCATTCTTTAATGTGGAAATTACATGGAGACAGATTTGTTTTTACAAAAATCAGGCGATAATTTCACATTTTAATATTAATATAAATCAATCTATATGCTCATCCCTATCTCACCGACCCCCATCCAAGCCCTAATTATCACTTCTTCCTCTCCTGTCTCTCTCTACCCTCTCCCTCAAATTAGACCAACACCATAGTCGAAAGACCACTGCCGTTGCACTGTGCACATGGAAGATTTCCAATGTCATCATTGTCTTCAACAGATTATAAAAATCATCGAAGTAATTTTACAGAAATTTCAAACACTCCATTTTCTTTGTCTACCTCAACTCGAACTCATTCCCTCTTCGTAACGTTGTCGGTGCAGCGGCTGCTGTGAGCATCGTTATGCAGCGACACTTTGTTGCTCCACTACAGCGACGACTCTCTATTTGTTGGTTATTCGAATGGCGGTGGTGGTAGCGGTGTTGGTGGAGGTGGTTGTTTGTGCTGGCGGTAGTTTCAATATTTTGGAGTTGTTGCGGTTTTTGTTGGTGGTTTTTGATGGTGGTGGTTGTGGATTTGATTTTGTAGTGGTTGTAGTGATTTTGGATCTGATTTTGTGATGGTTTTACAACAATTTTGGGTTGGGTTTTTTTGTTGATGGTCGTGCTTGCTGCGGTGGTAAAGTGGCAGTGCTGGTGAGGCGATGATGATTTTGGCAGTGCTGGTGAGGTTATGTGGTGCTGCTGGTGGTAATAAATAATATGTAACTTAAAAGCGTGAAATTCCGATTAAATTTGTAATTGTGACTCACAATCTATTACGTTGTGATCAAGTAATTTAATAATTTATGATTGAGAAATAATTGTAATCAATTAATTTTATGATTTGTGAGAGTGAAATAAGTTGTAATTTATAAATTTTTAAATTTGTGATCGAAAAATAATTCGTGCCTTTTTAATTTGATTATTATGACATATAAAATTTGTGATCGAGAAATAATATGTGATTTATTAATTTGATAATTTATGACCAAGAAATAAATTGTAACCTATAAATTTTATGATTTAATAATATGTGATTTATTAATTTGATAATTTATGACCAAGAAATAAATTGTAACCTATAAATTTTATGATTTGTGATTGTGACGTCTATAATTGTGACTAGTATGTAAATATAATCATAAATTGTATGATATTGTGACCTTAATATATTTAACTAATAATTTTTTTAATTATTTATTAATTAATAGAATGGTGGCTATATTGTCACCACGTTTTTTATTTTATACATCACATTTTAATTACAGATAAACCCCTCAATCTTTGCTCGTTGTAACAATTATTTCCTTAATCTTTTTTCGTCGAATTGTTATCTTCACCTTCGATCGATAAGTACATCTTGTCCTTGATGATGATTTATATTAACATATTTTATTTTCATGTTTTGAAATAATAAAAAAAATATGATGAAAAATAAGGCGAAAATAGGTTGTTTTACGCCATTTCAACGGACTTTTGGATATAAAACTATTATCAAATACAAAATATGTTAATTAATGAAAAGTTTGAGAATAAGAATGATATGAAAAATCATTAAGGATTTAAATGTTATAATGAGCAAAGATTAAGAACCTTAAATGCAATTAAAATATCGTGTGAGCAATAAAAATTGTGGTGTGAATATTATTACCTTAATATAATTTAATTAAGACTTGATTTTTGATATAATAAACGTAATTTCTTAATTTTGGAATTGTATTTTGCAACCTTATATATGTCATGTTCCCTTCTTTAATTCTAACAGATAAAAAAATATATTATATTATATTATATTATTCAAGCCAATTAAGCTCAAATCGGTAACTCAATTGGATTAAGACTCAATTGAGTACACATATTTGATAGCATAGGTTCCTCAAACTTTTGTTATAGAGTTTTTTAATGGTCTTGTAGCTAGTTGATGGCGGTTTAACCCCCAGCTTCTCTTTCATTACTTTTTTCACGATGAGAGAACCGTATCTGCATAAGTCGAAGTGGTGGCCCCACTGAGCTGCACATTCATACGCAGTTAATCCGATAGTTGAGATATCATATATTCTATGAAATGCCGTTCTTGCTAAGGTTGTATGTTTTATTTCAACCTACTTAAGTCCAATCCATTTGGACCCTCCATCTAGTAGATCTTCACTTAGCTAGGATTCTGACTCTGTTCAAACAAACCAACATTTTTCGAGAGTATATTAAGGAATAAATCTCATATTTTTAAAACTAAAATATAAATCAACATATAAAATCCTGTACTTCTACTCTTAACAAACTCTAAGCTAGCACTTCCTAATCTCGTATCACGGTACCGCTCATCAACTCTCCACGAGGTACACAATCCTTGTTTGGGTTCCATTTTTCCAAAAATACATTCTTAACAACACATTCTTTCATAAATCAATATATAAAATCTTGTACTATATATTACTCTTAGCAAACTCTATGGCTAACGCTTCCTCATCTCGTACCACGTGACTCACTCATCAAGTCTCCATCATCAGTCGAGGTACACAATGTGCACAATTCCTATTTGGGCTCCATTTTCCCAAAAATACATTTTTCCGAAATATATTTTCAACCACATTCTTTCATAAAATAATATTACACGTAAACTCAAAACTTTTTTTATTTATTTTTATTTTTTAACCACATATTGTCCAAAAAAATAACTATTTCAAAATACATTTTCCTCCAAAATCTCATTTTAATGGAACCCAAATGGGTAGAATCTCTACTTCTAGAAGACTGATTCTCCCCTTTTAGAAGACTTGCCGACGGATTAGCACTCATAGATGATGCAGTTCCCCTATCTTATCTCCTTAATCACACCCTCAGTGGGCTTGTTACCTTTGTAAAACTTCTTGCAGCTGTAAGAGCACAAGACAAAGTGATAACTTTTGAGGAGCTTCCCTCAATGAAGCCACATCGGGCATATTAAGGAATATTCTTCCTTTGTTAAACCAAGCAAAGGAAGAATCCTCGTATCAAAGCAAGTAGTTCACAGTGATGTGTCTACATAATTAGCATCTCTAATCCTGATAATCATCAATGTAATTCTCCCCAGATCTTAGGAAAGTGTGGCCAGTTTATAATTCCTTGATCTGTATAAATTCAGTCGCAAACAGAAAATAATATAAAAGTTTCATTTACAAAAACCAACTAGTTTATATTATTCTATAGAATGCATAAATCAAAAATTTCCTATTTTTAATTTATCAAAGGTGTTATATGGTAGATGTAAATTTAAGAAACTAACATCTTTAAATAAGAAAGAAGGTTAGCAGCCTCTCTCTTAGAACATGCCTTAAAAAAAAGATAGGAGAAAAGTCGGCACCTATTAGAACCGAGCTATATTAAAGTTTAAACTGAAACTAAAATTGTTGACTAACTGTACCGTTAGATCATGTTCGATACTGCATACCAAGATGCACAATCCATATAGGACTGCATTATTTATAATATGTATGTATTATGATTCTCCTATATTAGTATCTGCTAAATTAGAGGTTATGACAGACTACTGTTGTTCCTCAACTGGCTTGTGAAGCAGACCCTTCCAACTATGGCTTTCTGACTTATCATCCTCTTCTTCCATGCTGTCGCGACCGGTGGCTGAGAGCCCTTTAGGTGACCCTCCCAGATGCAAAGGGCCTTGTGGTGAGCACGATTGTGCAACAATAGCCTTGCATTGATCTTGCGTTAGCCACGAGCAACTCGACAAATCAGTCGATGAAGTGGGAATTTTACGGATATGAAGCCTGTATTTCTGAAATTGCATATACATTCTCATAGTAGCCAACCCCAATTCATTGGTAAGACGTAGATCATGTATGGGTCATATGTGAAAGTAAGTTATTTATTTTGACACTAACACAAAATATACTTTCAAATTAAGTAACTTTTTTCACTTAAAAACCAAGAAAAAGTTATATATATAGACATTTTTAAAAGTGACTTCCCGTGAAAACCTGCAGCGTGAATCAAAATGGAATGAGTTTGATACCATACCTGCAAATGGCTTTTCACTTCATCGTTGGTGAGGCCATCTACATTCATGAGTTCTCTAATTTGCTTTGGTGTAGCCACTGAGAAAAGCATAAACCCACAATTAAAATCTATTAAAAAGACAATTTTGATAGAGAATGCTACTCCAAATTACACAAAGCTTCTTTCTCCTGTAGTTGCAAGAGAACAAATTTACGAAAATTAATACCGTTCATGCACCATTACATTCATATTTTTCTCCTGGTATTTGTCGTTATTTTAAGATAATCTCAAATAGATGATCCAAATTAGAAATCCAGAACTTGGAATTTCTTGACTTAAACAAAACTTAGGAATACGAAATACCGGGTAAAATGTTTTGGTAGACAGCAGTAAGACTATATAAAGGAAAGTCAAAAAAATTAAAATCTTATTTATTGAATCGTCAAATCTAGTGTCGTGCACCGAACAGGGGCGGACCCATTAAGGGCCCAGTGGGGGCGACTGCCCCCACTGAAATTTCAAATATCTTGAGAAAAATGTCAAGACAAATGCTAGGCATCTAGTCCAGTGGTTATTATTGCTTTAGATGTAGGAACTAGAAAGTCCTGAGTTCGAATCTCAAAATGCTCTTTTTATCATTCTTCTTGTGTTTTCATTTTGGCTCTTTCATTCTTTTGCTTTCACAGTTTATTTTACCTCTTTTTTTTTTTCGCCTCCACTGAAAAATAATCTCGGGTCCGCCCATGGCACCGAACATGCCTGCATGATATTTTTCTTGTCGATATTGTCATACATACATTCCATTTAACAATCCATTGACATGCATATATAGTTCTCTATTAATTCATTGATTACACTATTTGCAAGCTCCAACAACAACGGAGGTGTAGTTAAGAAAATTTTTAGGAAACAAATCACTTAAGACCACTGCAGTAGGAAAAACAAACAATGTTTAGTCCAATCTCGTATTGCATACCAAACATAACCTTAGAAGTGTGGAACAAAAACACAATAAAAGTGAACAATGTTTTCATCTATTTTTCTTCAGTGTTTATTTCTACATTGCACTACTTGCAAACCCCAAGATAATAGAAGTGCAATCAACAAAGTTTCAATGAAAGCTTATCAATTAAAACCATTAAGAATGAAAACGAAAACTCAAAATCTTATTAATTGTATATTCAGTTTTGTCTATCATTGCACACCAAACATGACCTAATGACGCATTTGGTTACACTGTAGTTTATTTCTCATTTTGTATTGCATGCAACTTTTAGTTGTCTCAATCATCTCTTCTAAAAGTTTAAAATGTTAGGGAGGAGTAATGTATATTCATTTAAATAGTGTCTTCAATGCATGCATTCACTCAGTTTAGTGTTTTATTTATTTATTTACTTTTTTTTATATTTTTAAATCGAAAATGTGATTTTTTTCGAAAATGAGTGACATCGACACTTGAACCCGCTCACTTTGATGCCACGTTAATCATCTCATCTGAAACCATAATTCATTGAAGAGAAGCCACATGTATTATTTAAATGTTGTCTTCGATAAACCCCGACCCTAAGAAAAGGATAAAAGGATAACGATAATCACCTTGTGCACCTCCAAGCTGATGGAGTGCGCTGACAAATCTCTTGTGCAACTCAGGGGACCAACACCTCCTTTGTTTCTTCTGCAGTTGGTGCTGCTGCTGTGCCCTACAATTGCCTGAAATGGACAGGGATAGACTATGAGCTGATATGGTCATCCCCTTCTCTTCTCCAACTGTTCCATTACATGGTTTCTGAAATGGAACAAATATGTGCTCCTTTCCATTACCATTCTCTTCTTTGTTATATGTCTGCAATCAAATATCACATTACAAAAATAAATAAGAGAATGCACAAACATTATTGTTGACTCTCTTATCTAAATGCTTATGCGTGCAGGCAGAGATGAGAATAATTTATTTGCTTAAATTGTCTTCAACACACCCACATGTATTTATTTTTCATTCAAGGTCTAACACGTGTATAAATTTTCATAAATTGATAATAATATGACTTGAATTCATTGAGCTTGAAGGTCCTATCTTAAAAGGTCGACCAAATTAAGAGTAGGCAAAGTCATTATATTTTTAATATTATTCATATTTAATCAACTTAGGATTTTACCCTTATCATGCCCTATGAGAAGGTGGTTCTTTTAGCAATACCAAAGTTTAACCATATTAAAAGCATCTTCAAGTAAAGAGTTAACTCTTAAAATCATGCTTGAAGAGACTCTTTAAATTAATATTTTAATTTATATCATAGGGGCTTAGGTTACTCGCTATTTGTAAAGAATATATTCTATCATTTAGAAAACATTTATTAATTTAGAGAGTAAAAATTTTGAAGTACTCCAATAAATTCTTTATATTTAACACTTAATTTATTACTTCCAAAAAATATTTATTATTTTTTTTCTATATTTTATTTAAGACTCTCTATAATTACATGTATTTAAAGTATTTTAATTTTCAACGTAGAAAAATAATAAAATAATCTAAAGAAAAACTTATTTAAAATAAAATATAGAGAAAAATAATAAATACTTTTTTACTCTCTAAATTTATAAATGCTTAATGATAGAATATGTTCTTTAAAAATAGAAAGTAACCTAAACCCTTACGATAGTTTATTGGTTTCCCATCTTTATTTAACATGCAATTTTACCGTTATCATAAATCACGACTTTTACATTATCATGTTGAACCACTTCATATAAAAGCCTAAAATTGTAGAGAAAATATAAATTTATTTGTCTATATTTTCATTCAATAATTATTTCTTTGAAAATACAGATTATATGGATGATGGAATAAATCTTACTAGTTTTTGGTGCAAAATGGAGTCTTGATTTCTGATATCAAAATAATTCCCATAGTGAACTGGGGTGCTCCACAGCTGAGCAGAACTCATCCAATTCTTCTTGTCAATCACTGGCTCCACATCTTTTCCCTTCCACTGCAAACCCTCCTCCTTCAATCTCTCAATCGCTACAAAAGATCAAAAACCCACAAAAATATTAACAAATTTTCGAAAAAAAAAGCATAAAAATGTTAAAAAAATAAATTATAATTATACCATCCTTTAACAGGCTCATGGAATGAGGAAGTTCACGCTTGAAAGCATCAATTTTTGTCATTTCTAGCTCCAGTGCATGAACATAAAATTCCAGCTTCGACGATTTCTTGGAAAAATCATCGATGAGTGAAACTTCTTTAAGAATTTCAGAAATTGTCTTCGTAACAGAATCTGAACATACCTTATTCGAATCATCACCCATTTTCACTCTTTTTTCAAGATTCTTTTTTTTTCCCTCGAATCTTTTGCCTATTTCTTGTAGATGTATTTGTGATCTTTCATTGCAATACCACATAAACATGCATGGACGTCTGATTTATGCGTGTTGAAACTTGAAAGGGTGAAAATCGAAAAAGGATTGAGGAAAAAGAAGAAATGAATAGTGGGGACATGTGATCTGATTCTTCCAACAAAAAGATTCGATTGTTTTACAGTTTCACAGCGTCGGATTCCACGTCGCTTATTTCGGTTATTTGCACAAAGAATCTTTTTGCTGTCCATGTTTGATTAAGCATGAACAAATTTACTTATAAGTAGATTTTAAAGTTTTTTATTTTTTTATTTTTGTGTGTGTGTGTGTGTGTGTTAGGAGGAGTTGAAAACAACTAATTTTTAAGCTTATTAATGACTATCTTCTCTTAAGAACAAATAAAAGTAAAAATGAAAATGTAATTATTTAAATTTAGTCGAACACGTTGTATACTTTATTGAAATAGATTTCGTAAAATGCTAAATTCAATCTAAGTTGGCCTTTCACTCTTATCCATCAGCCGTTCACGTATTTTACTACATAAGCAAGTTCAATGCTTCACAAAGAATTGAAAATTCCACCTTGAGACGGCGCTCAAGGCATGTTTCTATTTCGTCACTAACACATGCTAAAAGTATAAATAACATTATTCATAGTGAAAATTATCGACAATTGTTTTACGTGGCATACATGTGACGGTAACATGACTCTAAAAGTATATAGTTAAAGTGAGTCAGTTTTACTAATTTATCTTCAAAATACTTTCGAGAAAATATTTGCACTAGCTCAAAGATTTTCCAAAGGGTAGGCCAATGGAGTACATTTATCGATCGAATTAGTGGTAGCCGAGGAGAAAATTGTCTTTTGGATTGCAAAAAATAATTTCATAAGCGTGCACTTAATTTTGGATTAAGATAATCAGATTCATTATAATATTTTTGAGGTTAATCGTTAACAAACTTGAAAGGGAGTATTTTGTGTTCAATTTATACTATTTTAAGCTTTTCTAGCCCCTGTTTGGTAGTAATTTTTTATCCAAAAAAAATCAATTTTTTAACCGTTATTTCACTATTTCAACCGTCACTTTTTATTTCTTCACTTACAAGTGAGACATACTTTTCTCTTTAACAATCAAAAAATCAATTTCATTGTCGGCTCAATTCAACTCGTCACATTTTTAATGGTGATTAACAATTGATTACACATTCAAAAATTCTACTAATTACTTCTCTTACATCTATTCAAATATTTATTGTAAATAATAATAATTCAATTCTTATCATCATAGGAAATAAGCATTATAAAAGGGCAATTCAAAAGTAAAACTGCAATCTTAACCATTTGTCAAATGCAGAATATTTTCTAAGAAGCAATATCAATCGATGGTGCAAAGTTATTTGTATATCTTTTCATTGAATGAATCATAATCCACTTGAAAGCAAGAAAAAGAGATTCCTCCTAAAACACCATCGATTCGTCACATATATACCAATCCACTTATTCTCTGTTGTCTAGTCTTTTGTGGTAAAGTTAGGTATCGACTTTAAAAAGTTCAATAAGAGAATATATATATATATATATATATA